AAACTCCTCAAAACCAGGAGGCCTTAGCATCAGCTTCCCCGGGTTCCTCAGTTAATAAAGTAGCATTCCCACACGTACACTTCTAGCACTCCCTGCAGACCACGGGGAGAAGCTTGGCTCTGGTTGTCAAAAGGAGGAAAAATAAGTGCCTCCAGCTGCACCAACCAGCAGCCTGTAGCATGCATGTCCTCCTGCCCAAGTGCCCCCAACAGCAGGCTCCAGAAGATGTGGCAGTTCCTGCAGCACCTGAAGAATCACCATTACTAAACGTGAAGCCTTGACTTACACCATTCCCATCTACCACCTAGACAAGGTACTCAAGACAACCCGGGAAGGCCCGAGGATCGGAAGGACAACGCACTTCCACACATCAGGCCGGGGGCCATGCCACCACCGAGTCTTTCAAACCCATCACTGTAACTGGCTCTTGGTCCTTTTCACACACCCTCCGCTCTGCTCCCAGGGCACACCAATCACCCTTCTCTCATCACGCCAGGGGATGCGCACAACCCGTGCACGCCACGCTGACATCCGGGTGACCCGCGCCTAGTTCTGACGCGCCCATTCGCAGACCCAAAGACGCCTCGTCAGCCAGCTCTCACGTCACCCAACCCCCCGCGCCCCACAGCCTTCTGTGCCTGCACCCCCAGGGCTGGCTCCATCACTTGGTTTTCAGGTAATCCCCCAGCACAGAGCACCCCCCCGCCATTTTCTCGCACTTACTTTCCTCCTCCACCAGCAGCTTCTCGCAGAAGCGAGCGCAGCAGCCGCGTGCGGCGGGCGCGCGTGGCGCCCACGGGGCTGTCAGAAAGGCACCTCAAGAGCAGTTTCTCAACCGCCCAAAACAGGCACAGGCCAAGTGCCTGACTGCCAAAGAACGCTGACGCGACTCGCTGATGTCAGCTGCGTCCATCCCAAGTGTTGATTGTTTGTGACTAAAATGCAGCATATGGAGATTTCCTGCACTTCACCAGTATAAATTCTGTTAGTACAATATTACGCTCTCTGTGCAGCTGTGCGTCTGTTACGCACCCACATCAGCCTAAGGAAGGTCCAAGCCCATTGCTGCAGAAGGGGGATTCAGGTGTGGGAGTCCCCCCCCCGATGAAACTGGCCCCCTCCAGGGCTGCCAGACCCTCTGCACCCACGGGGCTCCGACTGCCCAGCCGGCTGCGCCCAGCAGTGGGAGGCACGGGGGATGATGCCGGCCACTCAGGCACCGTTCCCCACTGGAAGAGGCTGGAGATCCCCGTCTTCTCCGGGGAGAAACAGCGACCACGAGGCAGCACACAGCAAGCCACCAGTGACCTGACCTGACATAACGCACTAACCGAAATCCAGGCAGGCAGGTCAGCATTAGCACCTTCCACACGGTGCCAGAGCTGCGGTACAAGCTTGTTTAGCAGAGATTGCCTCCAGCCGGGGTAACACCCTAATGAACTGTTGCCTCCCCCATCACTAGGGTTCATGTAGGCACCAGGGAGTAGTGATTTACGTGATGAGCTTCACTGCTGGACTAGCTGTATCATTTGGTATTTCACATTAAAACACACCCAGTCCCTCTTTCCTCCCTCTTCTCTTTATTATTTAATAACACGGAAGAGACCAGATTGTCAACGCTGCGGTTGAATACCTTCCCCACGCGCATCTGACCTCAAAAGCAGAAACAGTGGACTCACGGCACCGCTTGCACACCAAGAGCCTTGGCACAGGCAAATGGTGGCCTTGGCTGCAAGACGCAAGACACAGCCACGCAAGAGAGGCAATCGGTGTGACCTCTCCTGGAAAAAGGAGGTTCAGGCCAATTTTGTTTCTGCCCAGAAGTTTCTGCTCATGGAGATCTCCAGGCGCAGGCAGCGTCACTGCAGAAGGTGGAGGCCCATATGGACGTTTGGAAGTTACGGTGCACAGAGTCCCTACCACGAAAAGGGGCAGGCACTCTACGTAGCTGATGTCCCTCGGTCAGGCAGCCACCCTGGACACCACTGTCCTACAGACCAGACCACAGCTTTGGGACAGGCAGCGTCACACACCAAGGAGGCAAGACCAGAATCCTCCATCTCAGAGGCTGGACGCAACAGCCCCCTCTCCCTTTAGAGTGCAATCCAGCCATGGCAGCACGGACCCGCTGCTGCTGCTGGCATCCACCTGCTGCTGCAACGCTGGGAGGAGGAAGGGACTGGCCGGGCAGAACTGACTCCTCACCCAGGCTGCTCCCTTCACAGGATGAAGCGTAGCAGGTTCATCTACCTTGTGCTTCAGAAGCGCTACTGCCAGACACACTTGGTCTCCACACACAGCAACTAATAATTAACTAACTCATTATCCAAGCCACTGTGGAACAAACTTGGACACTGAAACCCTGGACACTAAACCCAGCCTTGAAACCAGGTCAGAGGCTGAGCAAACACAGCAGTGCCCACACAAACCAAGTTCCAAAGTACCCATCTGCCCGCACACGCAGGTAAAAGGGCAGCAAAGTGCGACATGCCTGGGCAGAGCCACCTTTTCCAGGCCAGGCTTGATAAAGACTCAACCCCGGCAAGGCTGGCAGGAAGAGAGATTTCTCCAAGTCAAGCACAACACGGGTGAGGCCAGCGCTCCCGTCAGAGAGCTTAACCGACGCAGATACCTTGTGCACGACGTGATCTTAGCAAGGATTATCTCACCAGAGCTTTAAACACTTTGAGGCAGTGAAAGGAGAGGATCTTGCCTACCTCTGGGAAAAAAGGGCGCGATTACGAACTGCCACCCCTGCTCCTTTGCTACGCCGCGCACGGCAGCAGCTGGTGCCATCACGCTACGTGTGCTGTGCAGTGCACAGACTTCAGAAAAGCCCCACATTCAAAGCCGCTCGGCACCTACTACTTTCCAGTCCACATTCGAATACACGCAGACCAAAGAAGCCTACCAAATCCTCTCTGCTCTGGCAGCTGGAAAGGGTCTGCTGAAAGGGACAACCCGGCAGAGCTAGTGAGGTGAACAGACAGATAACCCACCACTTCCCCAACACAAGTGCTTGGTGGGGACCTACCTCGACAGTAAAAACCTGCTCCAAATTTGTCTGACCTCAGCTCTAGCTGTTTAAGCCCACAAGCAATGGCAGGTTGAGATTAAAAAGGCATCGTTTGTCGAAGTTCCCTCTTCCTATGGATGCCAGTAGACTGTCATCAGAACACCTCTGCACCTACTACACACATCTCCTCCGATCTCAGCCCGAGAATTAGGCCTTGCAGATTGCTGTCCCAACAACTCCTTCCTTGATATCTTAAGTTTTTCTGAAGTGTGGACACCAGGCTGGATTCAGCATCCGAGGCATGGTCTCTAAACCCATCATGACATCTCTGCTCCTCACCAACACTCCCAGCTAAGCTGAGGCAGGTACCAACAAGAGATGATACATATCATAATCTACTCAATTCACTATGCAAACTTCACCTCATTAATGTAAATACACACCTCTCTTCTCCCAGCAGTCTTCCCTCACACATGCCCCACACGTTATTCCACCACATGGCCAAACACCAAACAGGAGAGTAAAGGGAGTTACCTTAAAGCACCTTAAAAAGCAGGGCATCTTTCTGGGAGAGGGGACATGGTTGTGAGAAATACTCCCTGAGCTTTGGCGTCTAGATCTCACTGTTGGAGGTGGTGCACGCACCACATGATCCCTCCATGCACAAGGAAAGCACCAACCCCAAACCAGTCCACTTTTTCCAAGCCTATGCCTTCCGCTGGCCGTGATTATCTGTGGTCAGTCCAAGCTGGCCAGACTCTGTGTTGACTTTGCTCTCAAGCTCCAAGGGCTCCTGCCCTCCCTCAGTGCAGTTACAGAAAATCACACCCCCGTCAGCCTTCATTCTGCTACACAAGACCGGCTCCTTACGTCTTTTTTCGGGTAACAAACTCCGCATTCCCCTCATCACCCCTCCCTGTGCTCGGTCCCGGCTGAACCCCTCCATCAGCAGGGAGCGAGCATTAGCCAGGCAGTCCAGTGGAGGTCTCAGCAGGGCTGGGGGAGCAGCACTGCAGCTGCCTTCCTGACTCTCCGGTGGGGTGGGCTTTTCGACCCTTGGGTACGTCTACACCGCAGAGTGCAGAAAGATCTCAGCTTGCTGTAAACAAAATACGCCAGGTACTGGAAACAGGGGAGCAGTGTTGGCTTGGATCTCTGCCTAGGCTCACATATCCAGCTTTTCCAAAGAGCTGATAACCACAACTGCAGCTGCACCCCCTCGGGAGGGCGTGTTGGGACTGTATCGGCAGTTTTCCTAGGGCTAAGGTGGGCAGCACTAGCATAAAGCATCAAAGATGTCGAGAGGGTGTTAGAAACACTATAGGCCCACAAGTCTGAAATAGGAACAGGGCAGAGATCTCCTGAGCTGCCACATCCAGCAAGTCCATGTTGGAGCACTACTAAGGTTGTGCACATCCAATCTACGGTGTCCCGGCTTAGAGGCTCACAGCTCCCACTGGAGCGAGCCAGACATGCTGAGTGGGGAGACTGTGGGGAGAAAGGACACATAAGACAGGACAAGCAAGAGCAGCTTTGGTCTGCAAACTTCGCATCTCATTGACCCCAGGAGGACATAGCTTGACTGGGTGCAACCAGATAATGGCAAAAATGGTGTTCCAAGCAAAGACCGAACCAAAGTGACAACTTTGCAGCTCCAGCAAGCAGGGCTCGCTTTGCTGCAACGAGCCACAGTCCCAGAGGCAGTCCGGAAAGGTCATCCCCGAGCTTGCGCCTCCAGTACATGCCACGGTGGCAAATGCTAACCACCCTGACAAACAGTGGTCTCGCATTAGCTGGCTGGTCACTGCTAGAGACGGCTCTGAGCCCGCTCTGGCACTCTCCAGCAAAGCCTCAGAAAGGTTCTCCAGCAGATGGACCCTGGGACAAGGTCAGACAAAGGGAGCTCCTACCTGCCCCAGTGGAGCAGCCAGGTGAGGGGCGAGGACACCAACACAAGTGCTCAACCTCAGCTGCTCCCCTGGGAATGCGGCTGCCGGGCTGGCTGCTGCTGGCGCAGCTCCTGTTAGAAGCCACCGGCAAGCAGGAACAGGCCCCTCGCTGCACGGGCAAGGCCCAGCCCTCCCTGCCTGGATACACCCACATTCCCCAGCCATGCCTCGCCTGGGACCCTCCTGCCACCCAGCCAGCACCCGGCACCCAGCCCCAGGCACCCCTGCCAGCGGCACGGCCCCCCGAGAGCGCAGCACAAATAGCGCAGCAGCAGTACCCCGTCCCTTCGCCCCATAGTGCGCAAAGGCAACCTCAGCCACCCACCCGGAGCCTAAAGAGCCTCCAGGAACGTTCCCCGGCAGGCACAGCGAGCCCCACGGACAAGGAGGACCAGCAGGAACGAGCCCGTTGAGCTCCCTGCGCAGCACCTGCGCAGCAGCAGAGCTCAGGCTTCCAGCAGTGCCGCTCCTGCGCTGATCCCTGGAGCCCATCCCTCCTGGAAACATCCCGAGCACAAAGCTCACCTGGGCAACTGCTGC